TCCAGTGACGCGCCGAGTAGGAGCCGGGCCAGCCGTTCAAAACAGTAAGATGTATTTCAAGTCGGGAGGCCCGGCACGGCCCCGTCGTCACACTTTCCAGAAGATAATATTTTCGCAACCTCTGTAGCACCACTGGGCAGTTTTCCGTGTATGATTATAACAGCTGTACTAAATAAATTTTAAGGCCTTTGCATACAAGCTGACTGATCGGACATGGTTATGATTGCTTGACCAGGCATGATTAATTGTTACCAGAGTCGACATCATCTGAATCTATTGAAGGATTTAGCCACGGATATTTGGGTTGGAGTCGGAATAGACGCACAAGTCGTGACGTACATTACAGTGTCAAACATGCCTATTGAGACAAATATGATGATAGAATTGCGGCTTAATGGTTTTAAGCAAGATCATGTGCGTATGGTCAGTCGTGATGCCGATTCAGGTCCACAAAAGACTAGATTTCTTCCTGCCGAAACATTTCATGACATTAAAAAAATCGGTGGCTGGTCTGACGCATGCGCGGCAAAGCATTCTTCTATATCCTGGATATGTTGCAGTCAGTAGGTATGCAGTACTTGCAGAGGTTAATAACCTGGACTTGGTCACAATAAATGACCCTTGACATATATGACCATTAATCCTGCCTTGCATCGCACGACACCGGTGTAAGCAGTAATAGCGTAGTCGGCATTCAACGCAGTCGACCGATCCATAATGTTGCGAGACCTGGTATTATCCAAACCTGAAGCATGGATTGAAAAAGAAATGCTGATAAAGAGGCTCTTTTCGTATCAGTACCTTATGTTTAATTTGATAAACTGTTTTCGCTATTCAATGTCAAATAAATTATTGAAAAACAATTTTTCGCTGTCAAAGTGTTTAGTACTGCCAAAACTGCCTGAAAACATTTTACAATTTTTTAATAACCTGCCAGCACATTAGTTCCTTGTAAAAACGGCCGTTGGATTGGATCGCAATGCAACCAGCTGAAATGGATTGAGACAGATTGAATAACGCCATCGTAATTCGAAAAGTTTTTGATGCCCCGCATGCGTTGCGTTTGCCATTTTATCTTAAACCGGCTTTTGAATGTAACGTTTGAGTATAATAATCCAGGGAAATGATCAGGCTGTGACGAATTTCATCGGGTCTTGTGTGATGTTCGGGAAAACGACGAATTGGTGGGTGAATTGGATTTAGAATTGGCGACTTGAGTGGATTCTGTCCTGAAAGTACGATCTATGAAGAGCTTTAGCAGCCTGGCACCAGATGAATTCGGCAGCATCGATGCATCTTGCCCAGCTCAACCTAGGTAATCTTTCGGGTCAGGTAAGCGTTTATTCTTGAGAGCAACAATGGTCAGTTTCTCATGACTTGGGTATTACCAGTGCGAAGAATAGTTTTGAATAGGCCTGGGACGTAAAATTTATTTCGGTTATCGTCCTGGTCTTACATGGAAATCCATTGTCATAGTTAGGTTGACAGTACCGCGGGCATGAAGTTAGGCGCTTGGCTGAACTGAGATTTTAAGCGAGAATATGTCTTCCAGGTAAATGAAAAAAGCAAATTAGGCAAAAGTGCCATTGACGTGACTCGTGATAATTTGAGATCATCCGGAGGTCGCAGAAGTTTCTTGTTCAATCGAGGAGAATCTGAGAAGCAAAAGAGCTGAGAATTTTCAATAAAAAGCGTTATAATAGCGCTGCACCCAATGTCTTGCAGCTCAATGCACGAAACACAATTTTTGTGGCCTATGGTGATAATTCAAACAACTGTCCTGTACTGAAACAATTCGCGTTACTAAAGCAAATGGTAAAAATGAATTAGGTGAAGAGAGCAAACGCAGCTTAGGTGCATACGTTGTAGGAATTAGTGACAACGTGCGCGACGAAGTGAGACAATAGTGTAACATCCGGAAAGCAAAATGTTTAGGGAACCCAATAAATCGTATTTGAGCTTCGCGAAAATATGAGGCACGAGCTGCCCGACCTGGACAGCTACGGCCACCACGCCTTCCGGAAGCGATAGCGTTCTCATCACTGATCCCACCTTCATGCAGATTTCAACAAGAGAGAGGAGACATTTTGACGCAAGATGCAAGTAGTCTTAGCGGGCGTGACTTTCCTGCAACGTTGCGAAGTGAACATAATATGGCTCCCCCCCCCCCATGCAGTTAACGCAGGTCCTGTACCATTTGATTCGTTGCAAGCAAGTTGTGCAGCAGGAATTGAACCTGGATCAGATTTCAACAATTTAGTGTCGCAGCGATGGAAAACTAGCACTGACGTACGAGAGAATGGCCAATGGCATTAGGAGAGAGAGTGAAAACGCATGCGGTTGGGAGACGCTGGAGTTTAAGCCATGGATTCCCTAGTTTTGAGCGTAAACGTTTTTAGGGCTAGTTTTTGATCCAAGCAATGGCGGCAGAAGAAAATAAGAAACCCACTAGGCGGTAAAGGTGAATGTTTCATCTACATCTGACCCATTATTGTGGATGCATCCACTTCCGGTCAGATCGATTGGAAGGTAACCAATGCCATCATTCCCGAGACAGTGCTAGAATGCAACTCGCTGATTTATTAACTATCATAGTGGGTCGTCCAGGTCTAGTCCAGGATTAGCCCATATGGTAAAACTTTTGTTGAAACGAAGAAGCTTCAAGTTACCTGCGTTTACCGTTTCCTTGTGCTTTATTGTTGGCCTGATCTAGGAGAAATATTAGGTAGTGAAAAGTTAAGGTATATTGGGCATGTACGTGTAGTTTTGGTGACATCGACTTGTTGCCCACTTCACTGTGATCACGTCAAACATTTCCGTTTATTGTAAAGATCTGTTGACCGTAAACAAAAACACAAACCGCTGCAAATTTAATTGGTTTGGTTCTTGTAGTTCACCAAAATTCCCAGGGCTGATCCAACTTACCCCGAGTCAATTTTCAGGTGGTATGAGCTCTGAACTGGCGGGCTTGCACCACATTAGTGAACCATTGCCTTCCGAAGTCTCATAAAAAGAGGACTTTCAAACACACATTTCAAACTCATTTGTTTCGGTTTCCAGATGTGTCTGGTTTCGTTGCTTAGATTTTTATACCATCTCATAGCATTTATTGAAAACGCACACGTTTTTTTTATCAACTTGCTCGTTCCTCGCCGTGCGCACGACGTGCCTTGCCGTGCGTGTGGCGAGGAACGCCATGAAGTGTCTCGCTAGCTAGCTTCTAAAAATATCGTCAGCGCCCGGTAACGCCCTGGCTCATAGCTTATTAAAGGCTGTCAGCGGCATCGAGTTCTGGACGTCAAATATGGCCGGGAGGGTTGTTGTGTTTCATCAAGCAAATGGCCACCGTCATTGAGGAGCTGATAGCGTCATCGCCGGGTTCCTTGCCGCATTGGAGAGAAGACTGGAGGGACCCTAAGCTAGCCTCTCCTAGGCTTGGTCTGTGAATGTTACAAGACTGCGCCCGCGGAGAGGCTTGTTTTATCGCTCCTTCGTCCTGCTGTGAGGCCGGCGTGGATGCCGCGTAAAAAGACATCATCCGACCACCAAAGCTCGCCAGGATGAACGTAACGTGAAGATGCAGAATGATGCCAACTTCATGCACGGTACAAAGGGCGCGAGATTTCGACTGATGTAAGAAAATATTGTCTGTCCATGTTAGGACACGGAGATATAAGCTCCTCATCCATGCACGAGTGTCCATCGAATAACGAGACTTCAACACCTGCCATGGCATTGCCACACCGCTAGCAAGACTCTCGTCTTGCTCCGCATCTCTAGCCCACGCCCTCGCAGGTGTTCGTCGGGCTCCACTCCGTTCGCACCCGTCGCTGCCACCCCGGCGGCCCGCTGGCCCCGCACGTGTCTCCCGGACCGGCGGGAGGCCGGCCGCGGCCCGGCCGACTGACTCACGCACAGGTGTTGTTACCGGCGCCGCCTCCTCGACGTGTCGAGGCCGACGTTCCGGTCGATACGCCGATCGAATTGGCCGACGGCCGTGCCGGCCCGCGCGCACGCCCGGCGCCGCCAGGCCGCCGTGCTCCCGTGGTGCGGCCCCAGCGCGAGGCGACAGACCGGCTTGGAGCGAGGCGGGCCGCAGGTGTGAGCTCGCGCTGCAGGGAGCTACAGGTGGCTGGCGGCACGGCTCGAGCGGGCTCACAGTGGCCCGATGCGCCGGATGAGCCTGGGCGCGTGACGGTGAGTCGTGGACGCTCGCCGACCGGGCGCAGAGCAGGCGACCAGCTGGCGTGCCGAGTGCAGGTTGCGGCCAGAAAGCTTGTGGATGACTTCGTCACCGATGGGCAGGTGATGAAGTCAGCTCTGTCCACTGTCTGTCCATCATTCATCGGAGCTGCAAGGGCTTACTAAGAGCATGCAGCTGACGCCTGCCTAATGTGAGGTGCATAGGCCCATATTTGTATTTGAAGGTCAAAATACTCCAGTGCGGAGTTCCACAATCCATCCGAAAACAAGCGCACGTGATTGCCGAGGCACCTTCGAAAGGAGACTAGCTCACGTTATGTAACATGGATCTAAAAGAAGAGAATTGCACGGCTGAGTGGTGTTGCGCAGACAGCATCCCTCATCGGTCTCGGCCCTCGTGCGCATGATAGCTGAATCAGTCCTGGCACGAGTTTCGATAGCAGGATTCGTAGTTCATCTGGAGTGGGGAGGCGACTGCACTGTTACCAATTGCTCAAGTATTGCCAGGGGCCATGGTGAGCTGCCTTCTGCAAATCGCAGCAATTAACTAATAAAGTTAACGTTATATGCTTTTCATCTGCGACGTTCAACTGCAGATTGTTGAACGTAGTTCCGTGCGTACTCTCATATGACCATGATCTAAATCATCGTCCATCCGTTTGCAACGATGGAGCCCGGTAATCCACAGAGACCTTGGCGTCAGCGTTTATCTGAGGGATTCCCGATTGAAAGCACTGAATCGTGCAGCATGTTTGACCTTGACCTCGGGGCCGAGCCCCAGGGATCGGGGGCAGTGCGGTGCGGCCGGCCTTGACCAGGACTGCGGGCGGCGCAGCGACGCCACTATGGCTACCGACCAGGACTCCTGCAACAAGCTGGAGCAGCTGTTCCTGGCGTGCGACACCAAGGGTCGCGGCCTGATCGGCCGCGACGAGATGCGAGAGCTGTGCCGCAGCTTCGCCATATCGCCCGAGGACTCCGACATGATCTTCACCGACCTCGACGGCGACGGCGACGGCATGCTCAACTTCGAGGATTTCTGCAAGGGCTTCCGCGACTGCATCAACACCGACTTTGCTTCGGTCAGCTGCAAAGGCAGCGAGCCGGCCCCGGCGCCGGAGCTGGCCGAGGGAGCGCCGCCGGAGGAGCGCAGGGCAGAGCGGAGAGAGCACGGCAGGAGGGGCAGGAAGACCGGCCTGAGGCGGCGCGACAGTCTGCATCACGCCTTTATCCAGTTCTCCAAGACGTACGGCGAGGAGAACGTCTTGCAGTACCTCGGCAACAGGTCAGTCCTTCCGCCCCCGTCACACTGGTACGCGGCGCATCCACACCGACACACACCAGCACTAATGTATGTGGCACGCAGGATGCATTCCGAAGCCAGAATCGTGTCGAGGAGGTGAAAGATAGACACATGGGCGGTACTTTCATATAGATAAAAACAAAATAAACTGAAGTGAGATTAATCATTTGAATGAAAGTAATGCAACCCGACATCGTTGAGAACACATGCCAACAAGCGTTATCTTAAATTGAGATAACCCTTTTTCATTGATTGTTGGCATCCGAGCATGAGCTGAAAAACAACAAGCCTTCAAGATTGACAGGCGTTGGGCCTGATAAGGGTCAAAGATCTAATCCCCGATATCACGAGCGTTGGAATGCCTACACTTTTGCTGGCTGAGACCGAAGTATTGAGAAGCAAATGGGTCAAAGAAAAGCAAGTGGGTCAAAGATTTAATCCCCAATATCACGAGCGTTGAAATGCTTACGCTTTTGCTGGCTGCGACCGAATGGTTGTAAAGCAAATATTTTAGATGGACGTTTGTCAAAATAATCAGGAATCTACACACGCCGTTACATGAGCCAATCGGTTTTGGTTCAGGTGAAAGCTTGTTAAAGTCGAGGTCTATTTCGTGAAAAAGCGACATTGGTCGCTGCTGATCGATTACAAACGCACCTATATATACACATTTATATGGGTTGGGCAGTGTTGAGATCTGTCAAAGGGTTTAAGACGGCACATTCACCTGAACCGTGCAGTTGTTGTCACGGCTGTGTCAGCTATGATTGTCAATATCTGATATAAATTTTTATCCCTCGCCTTGCAAGGGAGCCTCAGAGGCCTCCCACCAAGGTTTTTACAGGACAAGCCTCTGGACTGCTCTGAGCGCGGTGCTGAAATCGTCGGTATTTCAACTTACATCACTCTTATACGTATGTTAAAAGTGTGAAGTCTTAACCTTAATGGTTCGTAACCTAAGACGCCTCCATCGAGGCATGGCGGCGACATTTCGCTTAAAGGTCCAATTCACGCTTACTGATTGCGCAAAATGATCCCAAAATATGTTTCTCAGACCTAATGTCGCGTCATCGTCACTCTGAACCGAATTTCTTTTTTCTGACGTTTTTTCAAGGTCAGGTTATTTAAGTTTAAGCTAGCTACCATTGGCGACCATTCACAATTTAACCCTTAATAGCACACAATTTGTACTTTCGGAGGACTTTCTGAGGCTGTTTTTCTCGACGACAGAGCTTGTCTAGTTCTTGATATAGCCGTGGGAGGCAGTGAAAGGTAGTGCGATTGCCTCGTGACTGTTATTTGGACACAAGGTATATGATTGATCAATTGACAGGTAAGGCAAACTTCACACTGGTATCTCAACGCTTATGGCTTATCGCGAATATTGATCAGGGGTAGGTTTGACCAGTTGGGTCTATGCCTCGTCGGAATACCAAACTTCCGAGCTATTCTGAGCACCGTACCAGCCTCTCACCCTAACTGTAGCTAGTTGGTTTGCTAGTTGTAGTAAGCTGTGCCTACACCACATACTGGCGTATACCATTTGCAACTATACATCATATGCTACTACCATATGCTAGCATATATCCTTGTGACCTGGCAAGACATACTTAAAGGTCACGCTTGTCAATGCTCAAAAGTGAGTGATAGAGCTTTCCAAGAGTAATACGCAGTCTTCCGCATTGTGGCAGCATGCTTAGGTTTTGACAAAACAAAAAGTAAGAGCTCAGTTTACCGTTATGACCTGATTTGGGCTCTTAGAGGTTACATCCACCACAGCTCGGTCACACCTATCTAAGGTACTTTGACAACTGCTTTCCAATTCCTTTTGCTGCGGTAGCTCTAGTTTGCTTAGTTTTAGAGATCTTAGGGGAAGCTCCGAGGAGCCCCTCTTGGGGCAGAGGTGAAAAAATCCCGTAGGGAGGGCAAAAACGCCCTAAACAGGATAATCTGTGGGTTGCGCACGGAAGCGCGCGATTACCTGCAGCCACTGACACACACATTTGACAACGTGATTGTTCGTCCTCTTCTCGGTCTCTGCTACGATCGTTGGTCTCGTGTCGCTGCCACGCTGAGTCGGCGAAAACTGGGCATGATTTCCATCCATGCTTGCATATTTTTAACCATCTCAAAATTTTACCTTTCCTACGTTAGGCGGATGACGGAGGTTACATTTCGTTCGAATTACAATGCTGCACTAAACTCAGAACTGTTCGAACAGATTCCAACCAATGCCCGCAATTTCATACGGCACAGCGTATACATAATTACGCCTTTTTGCTAAAAGCTGTATGAAGCTACCATTAGTGGTTGCTGCCGGCTGTCATACTGCCAAATTGCCATAATTTGTTCCGTTTTAGAGAGTGTGACGGCCGGGCTGGAACGGCGGTGGCGCTGAACACTTTATCATAGTTTACGGATGCTCACTCTCCCTGCGGCCCAGCTCGTACCACTGGGGAGGGACAAAGGTGACCCCAAGATCCTGGCTCTGATGACCAGCACACAGAATCAAACATGGCCAGGCAATGTAGTGGACGCCTTAAATAAGTTTGTTCGAAATCACACGCAAAATACTGGTGCAGGCTTGCTCACCTTTCTTCTTTGCATTTTGCTTCGTTTCAGCTGACTTGGGGGGGGGGGGGGGGCACTGGTAAATGAACCGTACGTCTGGAAGGCAAAGTACTCAACTCGTTGTGCTACTAGTAGCATGTGCCGCGCAATGCTATGACGTGATTGTCCCTGTTTAACCCTGAATGTGAAAGGGACGATAGGCTTATTCCCACTTTTCAGATTTCACAGAAATGGCGTTGACGAGACCAGACATGAGATAATTTTCAATGGCAATTTCAGCGTTGCGGATCGATTGAAGATTGGCGATAACACCGCTCACAGTTCATTAGGGGTGTGGTTAGGCTTAAATTGCTGGTACTTGGCATGTCCGAACAGAAGGTACATTGCATTCAGGGGAGAGGGCGGCAGTTTGATTGGAGGTTAGATCGATGGGGAATTCGTGGGACGTCAAAGCACGTCTCTCACATGGGATAAATTTTGTTAGTGGCTTGATGGTGAAATTTGAAGACAAGGTGTTCACATTGGCACATACAATGTTTAAACTGCCAACATTGCGTTCGTGATTTGGCCCCAAAGTTGCGAAATCATCTTGGAGTCTCGCGGACATCTTGAAGGCATAAAAGTTCAAGTAAAATTAGTTGCAGAGTTGTAGGAAAGCGTTCAAATGCCGTCTTTGGGCAGGCTAGCCATAAAAGCGGGCAACCGTTCACTCACCATAGTGTACCCGAAACAAACGATGACCGGTGCGTTCCTAAAGCTTGACTCCCGCCATGGTGCAGCGCCATGGCGGGAAAGATCAGCCACCTTACCAATGTAGCCAGCAGTGCATATTGCGAAGGAGGAAGAAAGGCAGAAGTGCAACACTGACAAGAGGTTTCGAAGCGAAAGGCCACCCGCAGCCCTTTGTTTTGAGAGTCATACCCTACCAGAGTCGCGCGTACTCCTACCGCCAATGTCTGCAGGTATTACAGGACAGCCGAGTCTTCAAATATTTGCGTTTTTATGATGGCTGCAAATTCTACAAGGCGTGAGAGACCGTGGCACACCGGGTGGAGACGGACCAACACCAGCAAAATGTCGGGGAATGAATGGGAGCGACACGTGCAGAGACATGCGAGGGCACGTGCGGGAGCACTGGAGAGGCGGGCGCAATCAGCTTGTCAGCGGCGTCGATCGCAATGTTGCGTTCATCCCTGTTCCATAGGTTCGTGGTCTTAGTGAACCCTTCACGCGTCTGCTGAGACGGCGCTTGGTCCCTTCCTGGCGGAATCTGACAAGCCATTTGGTAAACGTAAAAGAATCATCGCTGTTGAAACGATGAGGACAGCTGAAAAGGAATTTGCTAAGTTGTACTGAAACAAATATGCATCACATTATGTTTTTACTTGTTTGCAATATATATGCATATATATATATATATATATATATATATATATATATATATATATATATATATATATATATATATTGATCGGGATTGTCATAGACATCACTAAACAGTGTATATTAGACGCAATTATAAACTGTCGTGATACGCTAAATATAGCTTAGGTCAAAATATTTACTATTTATCCTTAAACAAAACGGCCGGAAAATAATTGTCCGTAGCATTCCACATAAGCTGGTGAATGCAATTCTGCGTGTGAATTTTGGCATTTGATTTGTGATGTTTTGAGCAGTGGGCGCATACTTGTGCACTAGGCTTGTCTCCTCCGCCGTTTGTTTTTTTTTTTTAAACGGAGCACAAATGGCCTCCCATGGTAATAGCCCACAGCAAATCTTCCCCACGATCCCCACAAGACTTCCGCATATTTAAGAACGATCTTTGCATATTAACAGTTTCTACGTTCTTCGATAGCAGTAAAGGCGAACGCTTTGCTTGAAGCTCCCAACAGCGAAGCGATCGGCAATAGAGCTATCTTGGGGAAATTGCGCTACGCGCTTTTTGGCCATTTGCTCGGCAGCGACAAGGCGTAGGGGACAGTTGTGTGGTAGACAGGTGGCGCAAGAGGTGGTTCACACAAAAATGAACTGTAAATGTCGTGACGCTAATTTGCAGCATGTCGTTGAGAACGTAACCTATTTCAATACCCTCAAAGTGTGCTTCACAATGTTGCGCCATCTTTTCGTGGAGATTGTGTTTGTTGCTTCAAAAATCAATAAGAATAGGCGGATGATGTGCAAGTTCAAATCACAGCTATACTGTAACAGTTCTATGTTTTTATGGAGAAGTAACAACCTTCTATATTCCGGGAGTCCAGGAGGTACACCTCTTAGTATATCAAAGTTGATTAGCTCTACATAAGAACTTTTGACTCACGATGCCGCAAAACCAGGGGCTCAAAGTCTTTTTTTGATATGTCAAAGCTTTCCCTGATAGAAACCGGTCGCAAAATATGCTAAATACTGACTGCTGACTACTACTGAATACTGACTATTCCATCTGAAGCAATTTTTATAATGCCTGCTGGTTTTGGCATAGTTCGAGCTCTGTTGATGTCATGACACGTGGCAAATTCTACCGATGGGGACCTGGCGTAAAGAAGCTGATTGGGCGCACAACCCATGTCAGCTTATATACGCCGGACAAAGACGAATGCAAAGTGAACCAGATACAGAGGAAGGTAGAAAAAGAGAAGAAAAGAGAGAGAGAGAGAGAGAGAGAGGGGGGGGGCGATAAATACATTATATATATATATATATATATATATATATATATATATATATATATATATACATAAGACTGGCATATCATGTTGCGATATGTGATTGGAATTACTTTTGACCTGTGACAGAGAACCGTATACTACAAGTGTGTAATAATTTCGTTGCATCCCATTGTTGTTCGGTGATGGCACTGGCCCGAGCAGCATGGCTGCTGCCCGTATCGCCGGCGCAAGGGCGTCAGCTGACGATGCTGCCGCGGTCCCCCAGTCAGGAGAAGATCCACCAGCTGTACCAAGAGCTCCTCAACTCAGACACGGACCCGAGCATCAGACAGCAGGTGGAGAGCGTACTCGGCTCCCTACTCAGAGAGGTTAAGGAGCTGCACGAAGAGAATCAGCAGATGGAGAAGGTTTATATGCGGTAGGTTCGCTGTTGCGCAGTCCTCGTCCAGATCTGGCTGTTGCTGCGAGCGTCGGCGCTTCGAGCGGAAGTGAAATAACAGCCGCATTCTACGAGCGGGTCTTACGTAGCATCCACATACTCCAAGCGATTGCAAAGTAGCAGATGCATACTGCTAGCGGAACTAAAGTAGCAGGCGCATGCTGCGAGCGGAACTAAAGTAGCAGGCGCATACTGCGAGCTGAGTTACAATCATTAATTACGTTTATCTTCGGGAGAGAAGGTACCCATGGCTGCTTACTCGAGAGCTGGATCACAACAATGAGTGAAGTAGTTTATTAGTAACCGAGTCGGGATGAGTACAGTGGTGATTTGACCTTCCCCTGGGTCTCGGGGCGTATATGTTGAGGACCCGATTATTAATAAAATTTATAGATGGGGGTATGCTGGAAACATACATTACCCGTGCGAATATCTTAAGTCACCTGCACTGATGGACCTGCCCACTGCAATCCGCGCCCACCTTTTTAACGTTAGTGCGCCTGTAAAATAATCAATGCAGTGTCAAGGAGACGCTACTGTCTCCAGCCGCGCTCCAACATCAAGGCCATGCGCATAACTCTGGCCAGCTGAGCACCTCACCTTGTTCGCTGCGGAGAGGAGGCGCACGCCCAGTCTCCTAGCTGCTGTGAGACGCCCGCTCTCGTCCTCTCCTCAGTGAGAAGGAGACGCACGAGGACCGACTGCGCAACATGGAGGAAGAGCTGGATGCGCACGTGGCCAGGGTGGGTGCCCAGGCGCGCATGGCAGGCCGAACAGCAGAAGGAGCAGGAAATCAGAGAGATGGAGGCCAAGATGAAGGAGGAGATTGCTGAGCTCCAAATGCACCTGCGTATGTTTCAAAAGGTGAAAATCGTAATGCATTTTTCGAAGACTAATAAATCATTATTATGAGCCAATCCACAGTCACTAACTTCCGCATGCGCATATATGCACCCAAACCAAATGTTTGTAATGCTCCGTCAACTCAAAATACAAACATAAATATAGGTCGTTGTAGAACCCGATGGTTTCATGTATTTTTTGTTTACACCTGCACTGGTCATCAGCGCGATGACAGAATTACACACTGGCGTTGTCGTAATATTTTTTTTCTTTTTTTTTTGCTTGCTGCGGTGGGGATTTCAACGCATTGGAGAGGACGCAGCGTTTTCCATAGCGTCTTCCTGCAATCCTGCTTCTCACCGGGTAGAAAGGATCTCACATCCTTACTACCTTTACACATAAGAAGTACTGCACCTCATGAGCAGGCGATTTTTGTCTGGCATAAACATGTGAAACGACGCATTGGGCGTCCGACGACGTCGGACGTAAAGGCTCACCGACCAAGCGATGCTCGTAGCACGCACTCTGACCCTACCAGCCAAGTCGTGTCGCCCAGCCCAACGACGATTTGTGCCTCCGGCCTTTCGCCCGACGGGACTTCGGAGAGTCTGCTCACGGCCGACCGGGCGTACGTTGACGCTGGCCGGCCAGCTGCCAGCGGAGCTGTCCGTATCAGCTGACCGAAAAGTGCTTCCACTCGGCGACTCATACCCAGCACAGTTGCATAACAAGTCTAACATCCCTCTCCCAGAGCGCGGCAATGATATGTGATAGGTAAAGATTGACAGACGTGATTACCAACATTCTTAAAGCAAACAACGCGATTGCGAGTTTACGCTCTATCCTGGACGCGGCTCCCTTAAAGGAAGGTTCCACATTTGTATACGGCTTAGAACTAGGAGTGGTCATGTTGATGGTCATTCCGTGCAGCTCAAAACCCCGCCCTTCTTAATCTGAAGCCTTATTTTTCTGAGCTACACGCCCACGAGGATATGCAGACTATTTCAAGATCGCTCAGGCTTCCATGGCACCATAACGTTGTCACTGAAATCCTGTCATTCCACTGGTCACACGGAGATCAAGGCCAATACAAATGTAATGGTCGACTCGTTCACATTTGACGCTCGTGAGCATGATTTCCGTATCTGACGGCCGCCAATTGGCTTTCAATCAATGTTATACAAGGTAAGATGGCGTAATCAAATAATGATGTATCGAGGAGCATATTTGATGAACAAAGCAGTGTACTGTCTAGAGCAGTCTTGACCACTTAAAGTACACCAGCTGTTATAAGTGAGCTCATTTCATCATATCTGACGCTTGCTTCAATATCTTGAAATGCGGAACATTCCCTTTAAGCACGAGTCTCGCGCGGGCTGCGTGACCCTGCCACGCGGGCCCCTGTCACGTGACAGCCCTGACGGTGACGGCTGCCACCGAGCGCAGGTGGACGGCTGGCTGCAGAAGGACACGGGGAAGGAGCAAAGCGAGGAGACGCTGCGGAAGCTTCAGGAGGCGACGCACGAAAACAGAGACCTCAAGGTGAACCACCGCTGGTCAATAGATGAGTCCATCTCAGGCGTTACTAAGCCGATGAAATTATGTGTTGATCAAGAGAGCTGTAGAATAACCACCAGAAGCGTCCTCTTAAATTCGACGCGAGTACACTTTGAGGCTTACTTTGACTAGTTGCTTTATTCGTCGACAGATGACTCTGACCGAGACTGAAACGGGCATTGCCCTAATGAGAGCCGAGATGGCGCAGATCCGGTCGAAATACGAGGAGAAGTGCAGCGAATTGCACACGTAAGTGTCCGCTGACGTCTTTCTCTCGGCCCCTGAGTCTTCGACGTATGGTGTGGCCATTCGCCTCACCAGGTGCTCTGCGGCTAATGGCTACCGCTCATCCCAGATTTTTCGGGACAGTTTTACGTTTTTTACGGCTTTAAGTGCGTTTGTTACCACTTTTCAAAAATCACATTGGGAATGTCTTCAAATTGCAAAATAGAGCCTTCCATGACGTACGCATATGGCGTAGGTACGTCTCTACGTAATACAACTTGGTGTTTTATTCCTAATGTGAGAGTTCGTGATCTACGGTTCCTTCGTGCACGCTGACCGTCTTCTCTCGCAATGGTCTGGCCAGAACGGAAGGTCGACCGCGTCAGATCCCCCCCCCCTCCCTCTGCGGACGGCGCAGCCGTGAGCGGCTTGCAGCCGAACCATGCTTCTGCGTGCAGCTCACAGTCGGTCGATCGATGGGTGTGCTTTCAGGGAACGCGCACAGCTGGAGGAGTATGTAGCTCGGCAGGAGCAGCTGCAGAGACAGTCGCAGGTCCTTCAGTACGTGCTCGCGGTGGGACGACCGATTGGCAAAGACCTGCTTGTGCACAGTAGCTCGACCATGATATTGTGTACCCCGCTGCGATGTATATGGTTCTTAACATGAAACAACATAGTCAGTTCCAATTTTTTTGTTAAATGTGCAGGAGACATATGACTTGTTTGATAATTTCATCTTTTTCTGCTTACGTTTTAGAGCATCATCGTACACACTGTTTCTCATTGTACAAAATGTTTCTTGAGGACCGTTTTTGAAGGAATGATGTGGAACGTAGCAGCCCGCATTAATTACGCTGCTAGCGGCGCTCAGCGCGGACCCCGTCCCACCTGCGTGTCAGCCCCTTCAGCTCACCTGCGTGTCAACCCTGATGTCTGAGCCGGCCCGCCCGCGGGCGCCGTCTGGTGACAGAGAGGCGAACCGGCGCATCCAGGACACGAACGACAGCTTGCGCCACACGCTGCAGGAGGGCGCCGGTCGGCAGCGCCCTCTGCAGCGGCCGGCTAGTCAGCTGAGCTCGCGCGGCGAGGAGGCCGACAGCGCCGGCGAGAGCGAGGGCGCCCGCTCTCCGGCCGCGCGCCGCCGCGCCGTGCCCGACGACGTGTCGTACGGCATCCCCCGGCTCATGAGAGACCTCGGTGAGGCGAGGCGTGACAGGGAGAGCTCGGTGAAGGACCGCGAGTTTCGGAGAGTGCAGGTATCTCATGGGCTCCGTCGATTGTGGAGGGCGCAACCCAGATCCAGAGATGAGTTTTCGGGCGCAATATCTGGTTTGCCGTTGGAGAACATATTGAAGACAAGCAACAGACTCAGTAAACTGTCAGGATATGGCTCAGACAAATTAACCTCTGAGTGCAACGTGGTGATGTCATATTTTTACAATTCACGGAAAATGCACGGATATTTGTGGGTATTTGTGAATGTTGGTATTAATAATGTCATTTCATGGGATGCTACCTTTTCGGGCTACAAGCTGCTTCCCCGGTGAGCCAGTCAAAACAAAAACTTACGACCATTACTCGGATTTTGGGCTTGTGCTGCATACTGGCAAGCATGATGTGTAAATGGACGTGTCAACACTAGCATACCGCTGCGTTGAAAACTGCGCGTCTGGGAAACCAGAGGTATGGGGTTCGGTTCCCCGCGATGCCGACCCGTCATGCCAGGGTGAGAGGCAGGCGACGCCATGTCACCTCAGCAGCTGAGTGCGTCGTAAAGCCCTAATGGCGACGACACAACGCTTGGCTCCTTCTTATAAAGAGGGCAGCTGGACAGTTACGAAGTTTTTAAGATGCTCCGGGTGGTCATATGCCTCAATTTTTTCAGAACGACTGCCTCGCAATCCCCAGGCCACAGGTGCTGGCCGCCTGGGAGCGGTGCCGAGAAGGGCTTCCGTCACCCATACGTGGCATGCACCGACCCCAGTGACATACGTGACCGCGTGTCCGGCCGGCAGACAGCGGCCTGAAGGACCCTGACGAGACGGACAGCGGTCTGTGCCGCTCCACGCGCGACGACGCCGAGCTGTCTCTAGACAGGTCCCTCAGAGACGACCTCGACGACTATGACGCGCAACAAAACAGCGGCGTCGACGAAATAATGCTGGTGAGAGGTTTGCCTGCGATTATGGTGTAGATACAACACATTACCCTAACATCCACAGCGCACCAGTTTCCCAGAGCTAAATTTTGAGACATTTGGCTATCCTTATGTTGTCTTTTTAAGTTGCTATGCGTGATCACTTTTACCTTGTGAGACACTGAGGACACAAGACAAACGTTTCAATAGGCGTTACTAGTCCCGAGGTCCAATGACCAGCAGCGGTCTCTTCATCGCTTCAGTTTAAATTCCTGCTGCGTGTCACTTCACTGGGAGCGTGCTGCGGTCACGAATCATGAGTCCAACTCACAACTGCACAGTCCCATTCAATAGCTTACACAAGCCGCGAAGTCGGGTCACTACGTCGGGCATGTCTGTTTAGCCATGGTAACCTAGGGTGGCCGCAAAGTTGTTCCGTCGCTTACCTCTCGCCTCAATCACATAATGAGGAATGATCATTGTTGGCCAAAATAGCTTCAAATGAACCGAGTCGGAGCACAGATATTGCAGTTGCGTCTTGTTTGCGTTATTTAGCTGAGTGGCCCATAGAGGGAGCTGATCTTAGTGTACTTGTCTGAAGACTGTATACTGTAGTCGCTCTTCTTTTGAGCTTGATCTTTCGTAGTGTTCATGCTATGCTTCAACCTCCTGTAATAAGTCAAGTGATCCTATTCTTCATGCATCCTTCATCTTCATCTTGTGCTTGTGCTTCTTCGGCGCAATGGATTGCTCTTCTTTCAGTCATCCTGCCTTGCTGCACGGTGATCTTTTCCTACTTAGGTCACACAACGGCCAGTGCAGTAAGCTTACCTCGCTGTAGTCACCCAGTGACCATTGCAGTGATTCTGTCAGCTGTTTTGTCCTGTTCCGCTGTCAAGTGACGAGTGCAGTGAATTGTTCCCGTTTCAGTCTTTGAGGCTAGTCCAGCAACTTAACTTGCTTTAATTATCTAGTGACTAGTACAGTGAACTTGTTTTGTTTCTTGCGGCCAGTGACCCGCTCAGTGCATGGTTTTCGCTGTAGTTGTTCAACGTCTGACACAGCGCACCGGTCCCGTTCCAGTCATCCGGTGGCTATCACGGTGCACCTGTCCTGTTCCGGTCGTGCAGTGACCAACACAGTACACCGGTCCTGTTCCAGTCGTCCAGTGCCCAGCGCAGTGCACCAGTCCCGTTCCAGTCGTCCATAAACCAGCACAGTGCACCCGTCCTGTTCCTGTCGTCCAGTGACCAACACAGTACACCGATCCTATTTCTGTCGTCCAGTAACCAACCCGGTGCACCCGTCCTGTCCCTCCAGTCCAGTGACCAACACAGTGCACCCGTCCTGTTCCTATCGTCCAGTGACCAACACATTGCATCGGTTCTGTTTCAGTCGTGCCGTTGACCAGCACAGTGCACCGGTCCTGTTTCAGTCGTCCGTTGACCAGTGCCGGGAGCCGCACCGCCTCTCTCCGCGGGGCTCACCGCTGCTGAGGCGCCACGTGGCGCCGTCTAGCGGTCGGACTTCACCTTCGGGCGCCGCCACCGCACAGATGGCGCTGTACGAGCCGACTGGGCCGCCCGACCGCACATACAAAGTGGTGTTCGCCGGCGACGCGGCCGTCGGCAAGTCGACCTTCATCACACGCATCTGCAAGGGTGTGTTCGTCACCAACATCAGCTCCACGCTGGGTGAGTGTGTGGCGGTCCCTTGTAAAGGGGGGGGGGGGGGGGGGGCAGGAGGAGTGAGGAGAGGGCAGCAGCCTGGCGACAGTGCTCACGCGAGTGCCACGCGTGCAGTACGGCGATACTGTCGTCAACGGCACATGTGCTTCGCTGAATGATTTTGAGTCGACTTCTGATTTATTTGAGTTAGGCCTTGGCAGATTTATGGTGACGGTGGCACCTCATCATGCAGAAAACTAAAAACGCTGGAGCTGCCAAGCACGCTATCTGCGGAAGCAATGCCGTATCCATGGCTGTGCGAGTGCCCGCGCGTCTGCGAGTGAGCGTATGTGCGTCTGCTATAGTCGATTACTTGCACACACGCTGCTTCCAGGTGTGGACTTCCAGGTGAAAACACTGTGCGTGGACGACAAGAACGTCGCCATTCAGCTCTGGGACACCGCCGGTAAGCAGTGGCACACGCTCCTTGTCATCCGTTTGCAGATTGATGACTCGCATCCATTCAAACCACTTTCATTCAACTTCGGTGTAAATATGAAATGTGTCATATGCCAGAAGCACAGCGTGCTATGTGATGTTCGCTCTGTGCGGCAACACTCGGGTGATGACGAATGTGTGCTGTGTGTGGTAGGTCAGGAGCGGTTTCGCTCCATCACGAAGTCCTACTTTCGACGGGCAGACGGTGTCATGCTGCTCTACGACATCACCAGCGAGAGATCTTTCCTGAACGTGCGGCAGTGGGTGCAGAGCATTGACGTGAGTCAAACGGCAAGGCAACTAGCTGCTGTGCTTTAGCCAGAGAGATGCTCGCTAAACGTGGTTGAGAGTACAGTTATTAACATTGAACAGATCAGAACAAACTTTTGCTCTGTAAATCATGTCCCGTGCCCAAAATTGCTCTCGTGAATACATTCGAGGGCACCAGTGATGTGCAGAGAGCACCTGGCACTGTCTCTCTCGAGTTCCCTCCGTCGTGTCCGTGCGCAGGAGGTGACGGACAGCCGGGTGCCCGTCATGCTGTGTGCCAACAAGTGCGACATGCGGCCGCTGCTGGCCCAGGAGGGCAAGCCGTGCCTCAGCCGACAGCAGGGCGAGGCGCTGGCCCGCCAGTTCGGCGCCCACTTCCATGAAACCAGCGCCAAGACCGGCGAAGGCATGCTGGAGGCGGTGGTGGAGCTGGGCAGGTAATCCTCGGGAGAGTGATAGGACTGGGCAAATCATTCTGAAGGTAGAAGTGACTTGGCAAGTAATGATACGCATGTGCTAGATAATGCTGGAGCAGCCATAGGACTGGCTATAGGCACGCATACGCACGCACGCACGCACGCACGCACGCACGCACACACGCACGCACACACACACACACACACACACTCATATATATATATATATATATATTGGAATATTTTGGCAGCATCCTTTCTTTTATATTTGTTTAATTAAAAATAACTGCTGCCTCAGAATTGACGAGCTTTTTGACGTATCGTTCTAGTTTCCGGGCCTTTGACTTCGCATCATCGCTTAGATTAAAGATGGTTTGCACAAAATTACTCACATGTTCATCGCTCCTTGCATTCTAACGTTTTGAGATCCTATCTCATCGTCGGAGAAGACTGAATGACACAAGAAATATGTTTTGAATCTTAAAGGATAAACAATTGTGCACTTCTGCTGGAACACATCTTTTGGTACGGAGAACACAAAAGAGGCATGAATAATTGAACTAAGATAGGGCCCTTTTTCACTTTGATGCATATAAGAAATGCTCACAATGGGAACACCACACAAACACACTGAGAAGGCTATTGCCACAATCACATCAACGGTGCTGACCGCCCACCACCTTATAGTTAAAGAGTTGTGTGAGCATTTGTTTATCTGTTAAGGGCTGGAGAGAGTTCGTTAATGAACATGCTTTCCCAACTTAACAGGCGTCTTCTGTCATTGCACGTCCGTAAAATGCCAGTGTTGTCTGTCAGCTGTTGTGTCAATGTCATGACATGCTCGTGTCGCATGTGGTCTAGAGGTGCCCTGTCACGTAAGTGCATTGTCAGGCGTCGTGAGTGTCGTGTTCACACCAATGTAGTGTACGGAATGAAGTTTGCAGCCTTCGATGTTGCATTTGAATTGATACACCATGTGCATTTTAGCTTGTCGTGTTTGTCTGGGCTGTCTCTCACGAGAAAGTTTTTAAAAAATCTGATCACGATAATAAATGACGATGTTTATTTTGTGGTTGTTTTTGCCTTTAACATGTGCAGAGGTAATTCCCCGTAAAGCTTCTTTGTCTTACGTGTGTGAAAATGTCATTAGATTTTGAAAACACAGTTTGACGTTTGGTTGGATGTCTTCTCTTGGCTTGCTGCCGAAGTGTCTGGTCATATGTCGTTGTATTTCGTCTCCAACGTCAGAATTTCAACAAAAAAAAAGAAGTTTTTCACCGAGATCTGTCTGATTGTTATCAATTCTGAATGCAGTCCTGTCCAATCAGAGCAGTGCTTAAATGCGCGTCTGATGAAGGACTTTATGGCGCTAATTTTGTAGCGCGGAGGACACTCACTATCACCATTTAAGCACCACCCGTCGTTAGTATGTTTTCGGTATACAGTCGTTTTGAATCGTTGTCCTTGTCCATCGACAGTTACGTCAAGAAACGAAGACGAGACGAATATACATAAGCGTAATATGTAGAAGATATCTTTGTGGAAGTTAGGGACACTGACCAACTAGGACGTCTCAAAAGCACCTTTGAAGAGCAGTCTGGTTTAAAATTCACAATAGAGCTAAGTGTGCAAAACATAATACCCTTTCTTGACGTGACTGTCGATGGACAATGACAGCGATTCAAAACGACTATATACCGAAAACAGACCAACAACAGACGGTGCTTAAATGCTGACAGTGAGTGTTCTCGACGCTACAAAATTAGCGTCATAAGGTCCTTCATTAGGCGTGCATTTAAGCACTGCTCTGATTGGACAGGACTACATTCAGAATTGATAAAAATCAGGCAGATCTTGGTGAACAACGGTTTTTGGAATTCTGACGTTGAAAACGAAAAGCAACGACATATGACCAGACACTTTGGCAGCAAACCAAGACAAGACATCCAACCAACCGTCAAACTGCATTATCAAAATGAAATGACATCTGCCCAAAAATTAGACGAAACATCTTTACGGGGACTTATCTCTTGACATGTTTAAGGCAAAAACGACCACAAAATAAACATCGTCATTTGTTATTGTATTAAGAAAATTTTTAGCTTTCTCATGAGAGACAGCTCAGACAAACCCCACAAGCTAAAATGCATTAATATAGTGTATCAATTCAAATGCAGCATCGAAGGCTGCAAACTTCGTTCCGTACACTACATTGATGTGACCACAACGACACTCACGACGCCTGACAATGCACTTACGTGACAGGGCACCCCTAGACCACATGCGACACGAACATGTCATGACATTGACACGACAACAACTGACAGACAACACTGGCATTTTACGGACGTGCAATGACAGAAGACGCCTGTTAAGTTGGGAAAGCACATTCATTAACGAACTCTCTCCGGCCCTTAACAGACAAACAAATGCTTACACAACTCTTTAACTATAAGGTGGTGGGCGGTCAGCACTGTTGATGTGATTGTGGCAATAGCTTTCTCAGTGTGTTTGTGTAGTGTTCCCATTGTGAGCATTTCTTATATGTATCAAAGTGGTAAAGGACTCTGTCTTAGTTCAATTATCCACGCCTCTTTTGTTTTCTCCGTACCAAAAAATGTTTCCAACCGAAGTGCACAATTTTTTACCCTTTAAGACTCAAAACTTATTTCTTGTGCCATTCAGTCTTCTCCGACGATGAGATAGGATCTCAAAACGTTAGAATGTAAGGAGCGATGAATATTGAAGAAATTTTGTGCGAACCATCTTTAATCTAGGCGATAATTCGAAGTTAAAGGCACGGAAACTAGAACGATGCGTCAAAAAGCCCGTCCATGCTGAGGTCAGCAGTTGCTTTTAATCAAAACTTGCATGTATATATATATATATATATATATATATATATATATATATTATACATATCCCATATGCCTGCATTCTATTGTACCATTCTATTGTAATGACGTTCAATATTGGCATTCATCTCATTCAGTCAGGCTGTACCATGCATAATTCAGACTCAGACGCCGCTCCTATTGCGTCTATCGCCGGCTGAGGCCTGTCGTCACGGAAGCCACCTTGAACTGGCCATCACTCGTGTAGGCAATGTTCTCTCAGATCGTGCTAAGGAAGAACCATGAAAGCGCTCGAAACCCGCCCCGGTGTCGTGGCATGCGGGGAGTTTGGACGCGTCGATCCATCCATCAACACCGGGAGGCATGGCAGGTGGCTGTTTCGCCTCCCGCACACACCTAACGTCACTCCTGATCGCATCAAGGGCGGATGCAGGATTTCGTCAAGGGGGGACTGGACATTGTGGGCCCCCTGGAGTTTGGGGTACTCTTCCAAAAAAATTCCTTGCATATCGGTCATTAAATTTTAAGGCAAGTGGTATATATATACATATATATATGTGTGTGTGTGTGTGTGTGTACATATATGTACGTATGTATGTATATATTTACTTCTTTATTTATAAAATAAATACGGAAACCTGTCTTACCGTGCACAGCCCTATAAAGCACAAGCGTGGTGCGCATGCATGCACGTAGAGCTTACTCATTTTCTGCGGATCATTTTAAATGCTGCGTTTTTGGGGCGAAGTGTTTTGGAACAACAGGCAAAATAAACTTGAGTTAGCTGCTAACAACCATCAAAACCAAGCAAGGACCTGATTCCTAGCTTATGTTTTAATGGCTAGCCGGTTGGGCAGTGCAATCAGCTGATGGCTGATGACTAATGCAGAGCTTTTCCTTTGCTATTGAGGAGTGCAACATATCAAAACCTTCAAATTATGCTGCTAAGACATCATGCACTAACATAATAAGGATCACACACTCAATAGTCAATGAAAATGACACATACGACGTCCACGGCATATCAAATTACGTTCGGCAATCACGCGTAAAAATTCATCGGCGCATATTCGACTGCGGATCATCTAAGGCACAGGCACCCAGGCTAATAGGGATGGAACCTGAGCAACCATGGGTGCCACAGAAGGCCAACAAAGTGGCACTCGTCAACAAGTATAGGGCCCTCAGAGCAAGCAAAAAGAACGCAAGACCAACGTGGTGGGCCCTTAACTGATCGGTAGTGTCCCGGCAGGCTGACATATAAGGCCCCGGCCATAGCACAGGATCCTCCGAGCAAAAGGGAATTATCCGAGACCATGAATTAATACCCCTGTGCGATCCAAGAGTGCACGGGCAGGTAAACAACACGAGCCTCGATAGCAATGGAGAAAGTCCTCCGCAAATGAGACCAAAGGAAGAGAGCCATTGATCAAACTAGAGGGCCCCTGAGCATCGAGTGTCCCCATGCCTTAACTTACAAGGGGCGTAGCAAGAGCACAAGGCCCTTCAAGCGAGTGGAAAGAACCAGAAACTTATATGAAGGGCCCCTTAGCAGCTTAGTGTACCCTGGCATATGGGACCCCGGAAAAAACTGCATAGAGCCTTTCGGGCGGATGGGAAAAATCCGTGGAGGAAAACCTGATCGATCAACAGTGCTCAGGTACAGGGGAAAATAGCATCCCAACAGCTCATTGAGCCATACGAGAAAATGAGGAAAGATCGAGGACGACGTGGAAAGCTCCTTAGCGATCAGATTGAACCGGCAAGTGGACATATAGGGCCAGGCAACCAACAGCGTGATGCCTTTAGACAACGCAATGAGCCCCAAAATTTCTCCCAAGCAACACTTTTTCAATCAGTGAAGAATGAGCTTCGCTTACTTATGAACTCTTTACTTTCGCTTACAATGGTTCTTGATCGTCTGTAGGCCCAAAGACATCCAATTTTTGTGTTTTTTTTGTGCCAGAAAACTGTGTCCGTCCGGCCGGTTATGAGCCCCTTCGGAGTCTTTAGGTACCCTCGGCATGGTCCATGGGGCATGGCCCCTTGCCCCCCCCCCCCCCCCCCACCCCACCCTCTGCATCCGCCACCGGCCCGAGCAGCTGAAATGATAGGGCTCGCCAAGAACATAAGGCCATCCATTCAAATAAGACATACTTACAAAGC